CGTTCGGCATTGATTGGCATTGCGCCTCTCTCGCCGGCAGGCGGCCGCGTCAGAAAACGCTCATCCCGCTCCGGTCATTGCCACCGCCACCGCTTAGAGGGACCGTCCAGAAAGTACGTCAACGCTTTTCACACAGATTCATTCGGGAAAATTTACGAGGTACCTCGGCGCCTGCGAAACTCGGGGTAGGCCACCCCGCAGTACACGCATGCACTACAGGCGAGATGTTGCCTACCTACAAGGCGTTATGGGAGCTTTGCAGCAGAGGCTGTGATCTTGGCGGGTTCGTAACGGCGAATTACGGACGCACTTTATGGGTGCTCCCTTATTCGGGCGCGCTCGCACCTGTACGCCACAGCCGCGTTTTAAGGGGGTGGGGAATCGCCTCTTCTGTCGTCTCGAGTGAGACGCCTGAAAGGTGAAAGAGGCAAGTTGTGGTACAGTACCCCCATATGTAGGCAACACACGGTGCATCGCCCGCCCCCCCTCTCTCTATGGCATTCAGAGCTTAATCCGTGCCTGGTACGCCGCACTGTTAGGCCGCGCTGTACGCCTCCGTACGCCTCCGTACGCCGCGCTCTGTACGCCGGGCGGGGGGAAACGGGAAGTGTCGATATACGTCTCCGAATAGCGATGTGGGTCAAGTGGATGTGTTGGGAGGGGTAGTCCCGGCGAGGAACTATTGTATTTGTGAAAGAGGGAAGGGGGGGGGGTTGGGAATTAGAATAAAACAATAACTGTGAAATTCATGTTCCACGTCCCCACTCTCTGCCCCGGATCCATCACGCCTATACCACGGTCCGCCCAGCAGACGAAACGCCACTCACTGGGTACGAAGAGAAATGGGGGAGGGGGGGGGGGCTCATACGACATGGAGATCGAGAAGATCCATCTATTGCGATCTGTTATAAACGTCATAACGTAGCTCAACACTGTTAAAAATTTTGTTGTAAATTTACAACACATTTGATGTAAAGTTTGATAGCAACAAATGTTGTTAAAAAACAACACATGTTGTAATCTAACAACATTCACTAAATTTCCTGAAACGAATTTTCATTCCAAAACAGTGGTCATTTACTTTCGTCTGCACCAAAAAAATTGTAATAAAACAAACTTGTTTGTTCTGTAACGATACATCTTGCTATCAAACTTTACAACGATATTGTTGTTTTTTTACAACATGGTGAAACGTGGGAATCATTGTTATGGACCACTGCGGGCAAAATACAAGGAATTTTGCCACGTGCCAATAATAACGAACGATGTTGTTTTTTTAACACACTAGTCATTACAAAGGGTGTGATAAATTTACAATTTTTTTTAACAGTGAAGTGCGTCCTGGCGCTCGCGAAGCGGCGGGGACCTTCGCGTCCACGCACGGTAAAAGCGACGTCCTGCGGTTTTCACGACGGTTTTGGAAAAACCATGACGTCTTATGGAAGAAAAGCATGGCGGAAACGTCATAGTGTTTCCAAACGTCATGAAAACCAGGACGTCGTTTTGACCGAGGGGCCGCTTAAGCACTCACAAAGATAAATCATGAGAGAAGGGCGCCCTTCTCTCGTGGATAAATAAAGTGCGTGACGAACGGCTGGCGATGGCCCACAGACCCCTGAATATATTTCGCAGTTATACCACCGTGTGACAATCGTGTTCCGAATAGTAGGGTTGTGAATGGGGGGCAGCCGTCCGTATCGATCACAACAAAAAATCAAAGGAAGTATTAGATGGCCACATAGTCTTCTGTACAAATGTTAGTGTGTGTGTGTTAGTGTGGCGGTCGTGTGTGTGTGTGTTTGTGTAAGGGGGGGAGTGTAACGTTTGTCGTGATTGAAAGGCGGTAGACGTTTTGTCACACCCCTCTTTGCGGCAAGTGCGAGTTATCTGGACACCCCAGGTCTGCGCTGTCGCGCTTTGGAGCGCCCCGTCCCCGTCGGCCCCCAGCGCCGCACGCCGCCACGCCACGCCACGCCGCACCCCGTCCCGCCCCGCGAGGTACCCGCGCGGCGGGCGTGCGGGGCCCTACCCGCCGTCGTGCTGTGGGTGGCTGACCCGTCCAGCCTTATTGAGCTGCTCCTCGCCTCGCCGCCCCCAACAACGCCCCCGCGCCGCCCCCGACGCCGCCCCCGACGCCGCCCCCGCCGGCCGCCGCACTCGGCGGGGCCGTCAGCTGGCAGTAATGAAGGATGAGAAATCGTCCGCTGCCCCGCTGCCGTCGCTGGAGCGGCTCGGCTCGGGATCGGCTCCACTCACCTGTTCACTTCACATGATCCAGGCTCCACGCTCACGCTGGAGCGCACGATCCTGGGGCTCGCTCGGGGGCCTCTGTGGCCGCCCCGGCCGGGGGGACCCCACCACCAGGGGCGACCAGGTGGCTCCAGCAGGGGCGTGCACTACGCGTCGGCATGGTGCTGCCCTGGCATGGCTGGGCTCCGCGGCCCTATCGCGCCCCCGACGACGCCTCCGCCTACAGTGGGTACAGAGCGCCACACCGCCTCGCCACGCTACGCCACGCCGCCACGCCGCGCCACGTCCCGCGAGTCTGTGTAGTGAGGCCTCGGAGCCTTGTCGGCGAGCCCCTCCGCACCTCGCCGCGCTGCGCCGTGCCTCGCCGCGTACTGAGACCTCGCTCGCCCCGCCCCCGCCCTGGGGCTGTGCTAGCCGTGCTGGTGCTGGGCCCCGAGCGCAAGCTAGGCGCAAGCCCGGCCGAGCTGGGCCCCGACCAGAGCCGAGCGGCGCCGAGCGGAGCCGAGGGGGGCGACGCACCCCCCGCGCCCCGCCAGTCCCGCCCCGCCACACCTCGGCGCGCCTCTCTCCACCACCCCCTTTGCCGTCGCCGCCAGCGCCGCGAAAGGTCTGGCTCCAGGCAGGGCTGGCAGGGGTGGCGGTGCTGGCGTCGCTCTACCCCCATGCGACCGCCAGGCGAGAACCATCCCCACAGCCAACCCCCCCGGCCCGAGCCGCCCCCGGCCGCCCTCACCCCCTACCGCGTCTCCCCACCCCCCACCGCCCCCGCTACGCCACCCCGCCCGACACGTCCACGTCCTGGACTGGGACCATCGCTGGGCCGGGGGAGCATGTCGGACCAATACGTGACGTCAAAATGACTCTGGCCTGTGATGAGCGCGAGGCGTGGCGGGGAGTTGCGGGGCGTGGCGGGGCGTGGCGCCGGCCCGGGCCCAGACACCATTTTGCCCCCCAATGTGACAAGTTTTCCAGAGTTTCCTCCAAGTCCGCCCCGAACTCGGTGTCGGCCGTGCTGTTCCCGGGCCCGCCCACGCTTCCGTCCTAAATTGGGATTTCCAATAAATGCCGCCACCCAGCAGACTGCAAAGTTAAAAAGGAGGATGGGGTAGAAACGGGGAAGAAAAAGGTTGAGATGTTTTTTCTCTTTCCGAAAATGGAACGGTTGCTCTTAGTCATACCAGGTGGCTGCTTCACGCCGCTCACTTTCGTAGCTATACTGTACCGCATGCATGCGTGCGAGTTGGTTTGCCTACTCGCACGGGGCCACAAGGAGCCGTGAGCAGCGAGGGCGAGGATAGGCAAGCCCGCCCGCCCGCCCGTGCCCGTATGAATGACCACTCCCTCTTCTTGTGCGTGAAAATGGATGAAACCAACATGCGTTTTCTGTTTTCATGAAATAATGTGAAACACGCAGATCAACGTTTCGTTTTCCATTATCTGACAGCTAGCGCGCTGAGCGCATGGATTTGAACTATGGCGCGGTCCCATCCTCCTGCCTTGTGCCCGCTGCTGCCCTCTGTCGGTCGACGGCCGTAACTAGCACACGTGTGAAAAGAAATGCTGTTCGACCGCTCGACACGACCCGTTTGTTGTTATTTAATTTTAAGTTAACTTTTTCAAGAACGACAACATGATTGCGCCAAAGAGGAAAAAGAAGACGTTGGCAGATAATATATCATTTCTTTTGGCGAATGAAAACAAGTCTATCGATCCAGAAGATGACATTCACACAGGTTTGGTTGTTTATAACCTAAAAAGTCACATGCATTTCCAGAGCTTATTTATCTTAATGCGCATATTGTCTTCTGATTTTAGAGACCAAAGCACGCGTTGTTGACGATGATTTTGATGACGAGTTCCCTGATGACTCTGTCGCTCTGAGTTCTTTGAGGAAATCCAATACCCACCTTCTTGACTCAGTTGACAAGAGATATGAAGGAGGAAGAACTTCAAGGAAAGAGCTTGCAAGTGATTCCGACGAAAGTGATGCTGACGAAAGCGATGCTAATGATATTGAAGAATCAGAACATAGTGATAGTGACTACACAGAAAATACTGTGAAGCATACCAAAAGGTAACTTAGCCAGGATCATCTCCTAAGATCGCCTTGCAGCTGTGTTATGACAACTCCTGTTGTTCATTCCTTGATCTAAATTTTACAGGAAATCGTCTCAGGAAACTGAGGCAGGCGATGAAGAAGATGAGAGTGATGATGATGACGAGGATGATGATGATATGAATGTCGAGGATGATGAAGACCTTTCAGATGTAGGAGAAGAAGAGGAAGATTCTGCAGAATATGCCAGCGAAGATGGGGAGTCCAAGGAAGATGAGAATGACAGAGAAAATGGTTCCCTTGATGATAGCAGTAACTTTAGACATCTAGCCAATAAAGACATGAACCAAGAAATTAAGAAAGGAAAATGCGTTCGTAATCAACTAAGTAAGATCATGAAAATTTTACATTAGTTCTTTTTAACAAATTTTGTAAAACTACTATCATTTTTTCCTTCTGTGTGGTTCCCAGATCTTTGGGATAACTTTGTTGAATGCCGAATTCAGCTTCAAAAATCTTTGTCTCTTAGTAACCAACTCCCACAATATGATAGCTACCCTATCTTTCGGGAGAAAGGAGGATCTGAATTTACATCTAATGTGTCGAAAGCTAAGCACAGGCTTACAAAATTGATGACTTCATTATTAGACCTTCAGGTAGGTGAATTTTGCCAGAAAAATTTATATGCTCAATCCTTTGTTTTGTTATCTCAAATTTATTTTTCTCTTTGTCTCTTCATTTTGAAGGAAAGACTTTTAAAATCATACCCAGAGACAAAAAATCTAGTTCAAGGGAAAAGGTTAGTCTTTTATTTATGAAGTGATGTCAAAGTTTTCTATCATGCCTTTTTGATTTATGGATCAATCCAATGTCTTTTTTGTAGTGTTGATGGAAAGGGCGATGTAAAGGTGCATGCTAAGGTTGAGGATGATATGGATGAAGAGATTACTAGCTCTGAAGATGAGGAAAATCCGAAGAGGGCCATAGAAAGTGAAGATGATGAATCTGACTCTGGACAAATTCCTAAGAAAAAAATGAAAAAGGAAAACTTAAGTCAAGTTCTCTCGTCACGGCATGCCAACTACATTCCATACCGTGATGCAACAATTCAAAAATGGAATAATAAAACTCAAGTAGGTTTCAAATGTTAAATTTCTAATATAAATTTTCTAATATAGGATGGTCTGCCATGTTTTTTTTTCTTATTCCGTTGACATTATTTGCTTTTTTAATTTTAGGTTGCCCATGGTAGTTCAAGCAGGAATTTCAGTGCTTTTGAGCAGTCAACCTTGAAACAAATTGAACAAATCTTGGCTGACAAATCACGTGTTATGAAAAGAACACAATTAAGACGGTCAGAGTACCATGTTTTAGGACAACCACTTAATAATTCTGCTCCCTCCAAGCCGGAGGAAGAGCATCATAATGGATCTACTGAAACCCAGGTTTGTTTCTTGTGATAGTATTATAATAAATCTTATTTAAAAAATGATCAACCTCATGTGTTCTTCTGCTTTAGGAATCAAAGAGTGTGGCAGATGTCAGCAAAGAATATGATCCAGAGATATTTGATGATAGTGACTTTTATCATCAACTTCTAAGAGAACTTATAGAAAGAAGATCAGCAGATGTTACTGATCCAGTACAACTTGGCAGGTCTGCATTAATAGCTCGTTATACTGTCAAATGCTTAATATTTTATTCTTCTTTAAAACGCAAACATGTTTCTCATAATGGTTGCAGGCAGTGGATTGAGTTGCAGAAAATTAGAAGCAAAATGAAGCGAAAAATAGATGTGAAAGCTACTAAAGGCAGACGTTTGCGCTACACAGTACACCCCAAGCTTGTTAATTACATGGCACCTCAACCTTCCATGGTTATGAATGAAGAGGCAGTGACAGAATTGTACAACTCACTGTTTGGGAAGAAAATATAAAACTCTAACAAGTAGTATGAATATAAATTTTTATTTTAAATGAATGTGTTGTGTACATATTAATGGTATGATTGTTATGAATAGGAAGGGCGTCTTTGGGGGATGTAAATTTGGGTATCAAAAGCAATTAGTTTTAATTAACCAAAAACGGAGGACCAAGGTGGAGTCATAGGCTGAGGATTCTGTAGATACGACATAACAACAGCTGAGATTGACAACCTAAGGAAAAACACATTTTTACAAAATTAGATGTGTGTTTAAAATGGTATAAGTTAGCAATACAAAATGAGAATAATCAACCTACATGAAACTGCTGAGAATTTGTTTTGTATCATCATTGACTTTGGAATTGGCAAAACTTATACATGAACAGTAGAGGGCTACCCAAGCACACCACTTCAGCTGGAAAAACAATTTAGAAAATGACAATATAGGTTCAATAATTCTCTGAGGAAATAATGGCGCAGAACAGAAGCAGAGTAACAAATGACTTACTCTCATCATTAGACCACACATCGAAAAGATCATTCCCAAAATATTAGTGTAGTCAGGTGTCATATCTTCCCCAGGGCTGGGAACCTGAGAATTGATCACTGGGGCTTTGTATCTGAAACATATTCATCAAACTGGTAACAGAAAATGGATGTGGAAGTCCATAGATATCTGCAAGTAATGTCCCTAATTTCTAGATATTGATGACAATCAACATGACCCTTAACCTCCTTACCTGCGCTCCCGGTCGGCACGACGGGGGTCAGAATGATTCTGGTGATTACTTGAGCCAATCATTTTCGTTGAATCGTAAAATTATTTCTTCCTGGAAACAAATTTGTTACGAAAATTGTAACGCTATTCTATTCTATAACTTAAGGAGGGAAAGAGGGACGTGGTAGCAGACGAGTTTCCAAACTTGCTCTCCCGGATGTCATGTAAAGCGTCCCCTAGTGACGTCATGTTGGAGTCGGAAGCCGAACAATATGGAGAATTTTGAAGGCCGTGCCGTGTCACGAATGTTTTGATTGCGGAGATGGGAGGATCCACGGTCCGAGTTGGAAGAAAACAGATTACTTCTTTTGCCCGATGTTAACATGTGATGATGCCAACAGTTTTGGTTAATTCCTTTTCTTTTGACTCTCTTGAAAACGTTTCAGCGATGGGTCTGGGCTGCTGCGTTACTGTCTAAGACTTACATCACTGTTTGACAGAAGAAGGCGTGTTGAGGTTAGTTCAATCCTTCAGTTTTAACATTTTTCGTTTTCTTTGCAAATCTCTTTCAACCCTGATTTCATCTTTTACGATGTAGTTCTCTTTTCTAAAATGATCACAATATTGATTTCCATCTACTTTCCAAGTGCTTCCTCTTTACAATTTCAGATTGATTTCTTTGAATTTGAGAATACTCAGATTCAAAATTAATTTACTCCTTTATTTTCGGGTAGTCGGCTTCTGGCATGGTTTAGTTCTTCTGCCTTCTTTTTAGTTATGGGACTTAATCTATTAAAATGTGTAGGTTGCCCCTCAATTAAGTGGCCTGAAGCCTCGGAGTACATTGCAGCTAGAGACCCTCTGTAGATTTCTGCTGCTGTTTCCTCCAGCAGGGTTCAAGGGTCTCCTATCTGATCTCTAGCTAAAACTTACCTTTGTACATAGTTGAGGGTAGTGAGATTATTGTCTGCCATTCTCTTATGTTGACTCCAGCATTACTCTAAATACTCCTAACTTAATGCATTGGTTGAGTCATGGTGAAAGTATTTTGCCATTATCTAGTGGGAGAATCTCATGACACAACACCTTTTACACTGTGTGGAAAACTCAGGAACCACCACAGATGTGAAAATAGTTGTCTCAGCCATCAGAGTGCAAATATTTATTTTTCTGTCTCAGTAAAGGAAAGTGGACGGATGGAAAGACTATTGCTTTGTGGCAATGGCAGGCAGAGATGAAGTAGAACTACTTCTACTACTCAAAGGAACTGTGGAGGGGCTGCTCATATCTCAGGTGGCCAATGTGTGGTCCATTTACGGAGGCCTCAACCGCCTCCATTGTGCCATGGAGAAAATATTCAAGCATGGTTACCAGGTATATCAAGAGGTATGTTTAGTTTGTTTGCCTTTATTCTCAAACTGGTCCACAGAGATGAGAAAATTAAACTAGTCTGAATCTTATTGCTCTTTTCATAGGGTGAACCAGACTTGTGGGTATTCATCAATGGCTTAAGTTGGTTACAACCAAACTTAGCCACATCTCCTACAGTGGTCTTAGAATCTTACAAGGAGTCATCACATGTGCCACAACACATTATTAGTGATAAGGCCTTAACTTGGTTGTATAAAAGGTATTGTCAAGTTTGTTACTTACATAATCTGAAAAAATATTTTGAAAAATGTTTGTTCCCTGATTTTAATGAAAATGTTTTATCAATACCAGTCTTGAAACACACACACTGTCACAAAAGTTGTCATGGCTTCTCTCTGACCGTGAACACCTTCTGTCTTGTTACCAAAGTAATGCATTCCTTAGTCAAGAAAAATTTGGAGAAGCTGCTTTAATATGCTTACGTGCTGTGGAGCATAATCAACCTACTCTTCTTACTGAAATTAACCCTTGCTTGGTAAGATACTTCTTCCAGCTTACTTACATTATTACCTTATTTGTAACAATATCTCATTTAATATTTCTTTTAAATAGTACATGACAAAATGGAACCCCAAAGTGCTCAAGACTCATCGACGGTGCTCATCATATCCAGAAACACTGGAACGTAACTCTTTATGGGCTAAAGCTAAGACTACTATGGATATTATTGACAGCCAATGTGAAGAAGGTCCTGAACTAGATGAGTCACAAACAGTTGAGGAACCAGCTACCCCTATTAGTAAATGTGAAATTGTCCAAGAATCTGAGAAGACTGATACCTTACATAATGTAGAAGATCCTTCTCCAACTGTCAAGCAATCAAAGCCTACTGAGGTGGTAGTGAGTGTTACTGAACCAAAGAATGGGTGCTCCAAAATTAGTTTTGATAAAATCAAAGCATGGAGTAGTTTACCTAGTCTTCTGGGTGCAACGCTGTGTGGTGACAGCACTGAAAACTCGGAAAATGGTATGATAGTTACCAGAAAAACATGGAATCTTACTCGAAGTAACAGTTCCAGATCCACCAAAGGACATGGTGGCTCACAGACGTTGCCATCTACTCCATACCGTTCTGTGAAGGATATCATAACCACTCCTAACCGATCTTCAACAGTTGAAAGTAAACTTTTTGCTTTAGATAACTCTGTTGGAGTGTCAAAATTATCACCTAGTGTAATTCAGGTGGATTACTCTGGACTTCAGCATTCAGATTCTCCTGATGTGTCCAGACAGAGCCGACAAACTATTAGTAAGAAGGTTCACATCAATAAGCAAGTGTCAGCAAAAAGTGTAGTTAAAAATTTGGAGAAAAAGAAAAGTAGAGCAGCCAGGGACGAATCTACACCAATTAAAAGCAATATCTGTGAAGAAACAAAATTGTCAAAATCAACGAAATCAAATAAATCTGATTCTGATTTAAAGACTCAGTTGCAGAGCAAGGATTCTGAAGTTCCTCCTAAAATGACTCGTTCCATGACATGCGACAGAATTATTCCATGCAAGTCTCCACCTGTACTATCCCCTACGTAAGTATTGAATGTTTCACATGCTAAACACACCTTGTAGTACTAAACATCAATCGCATTTATTTTATCTTAATTTTCAAAATTACCAAACAGTGACAAGAGAAGACCAGGATCTGCCACTAACTTGTGGGAAGGGAGCAAGGGATCTTCTCTGAATAATTCTGGTACTCCATTAAGTTGGTCACGGAAAAGCTTTATGGAAGATGGCGGAAATAGTGTTCAGCCCATGTCTACAGGATACTTCCCGCGACCGGTGGAAGGTCAAAGCCTCTTTTCCTTTCTTTCATCTGGCCAATTCTCTAGGGCAAATGCTGAACTAGACAGAGAAAATGCTCACTTTAGCATATCTGAGGCAATGATTGCTGCAATTGAACAGGTAATTGTTGTATTCTTTACTGTAGTCACAGTACTCACCTCTGTATTACAAAAATGATTTTCAAAGTAAAGGGTGGGGGCTTACGTGCGTGGGTTAAGCCGATGGGGGCCCCGAGCACACTTACCGACTCTTTAGAAGTGTTTGCAGTGTTTGGGGACTTTTTTCACTAAAATCCTTTCTATTTCCTAGACACTCATGTGGATGGTGGTTGTGTGATGTATTATTAGAACACTTCCTGACAAAATTGCTAATGATGACTATCTCTTTACTTTATATCAGGTCAAATGTAATAAAGAGGTCCAAACAGCTCCAGCCCCAGAAGATGGAGCAGACGAGTCTGATGAGGAAATAATTCAGTTGAAACAGAGACTTCGACTTCGACGACATCAGCGCCAGGAAGAGCAAAGACGTCTCATCCTGGGGGTCGCTCTCTTGAGTGATGGGAAAACAGACACAACAACAACAGACCAAAGTATTAGCCCACTATCAACGCCGCCTGGCACACCTTCAGATAGTATGTCCACTGATGGAGTTGAGGACATGGAACTTGATGATTCCCAAAGTATATCTGTGTTAAAAGATTCTGGTCAGTAAACACATCAGATTCTTATTTTCTTTGCTTTTAACATGAGGAAGTTATGTATTATAATCTGTTTGTCTAACTCCAGGTCTTTCTGTATCTATGGCATCATTATACTCTGAAGCTGAGCTTTCGAAAAATACTATCACTGAAGAATCTGTGAATGCCACTCAAGATTCAAACTGGTCTGCTGAGAGTGTAGCCCTTTCACTTATCAGTCAGTTCAGTGAGAAACAGCTTCCCAGAGCATCAGATTTGAAGTGGTTAGTTTCTGAACAGGAGACAGATCAACAGGTTAGTATTGATGTACATTTTTAGATCATGTTCAAAAACTTGTTATTTAATATTGTCTCCATGCCCTCATTACTTAAATATACTTAATTTTATGGATCCTTATTGTTTTATTAGCTACTTCCGTTACCTAATAGCTGGCCAGTGAGTCCTGATGATGTGGTGGATGATGATATGCGTCAGGCAGCCACACCCTTGCGTGGTAATATGGAGTGGGCACCTCCACGCCCACAATTAATTTTTACTGTTCATCCAAATCCTGTGTAAGTTTACTTCAGTTTGTACTCCTCTTACTCATTTTCACTAATATATTGCCGAAGGTACTATTTTATTTTACCGTTTTCCAGGAGACGTACTCTCATGGCAAAACAGAGTTACCGCTGTGCGGGCTGTGGAATGAAAGTTGCTCCTTCATATGCCCATCGCTATCGATATTGTGAATATTTAGGTCGTTATTTTTGTACTGGATGCCATTCAAACCAGACTGCTATTATTCCTGCCCGTGTTCTGACCAAATGGGATTTCAATAGGTTTGTGCACAATTCTCATATTTATGCTTTGTTACTTTCAGTTGAATATGAAATTTGATTAGTATTATTATCCTATTTGTTCTGTTTTATTAGATACCCTGTTTCAAATTTCTCCTACCGTTTGCTTGATTCAATGTTTATGGATCCATTGTTTAATGTGGCTGCATTGAACCCTGGTCTCTATCGGAAAGCTAGATCTTTAGAGCGGTGCAGGAAATTCAGACAGCAGTTAAACTACATGAAAGATTTAATTTTCAACTGCCGTCATGCTAAAGAGTAAGTAGAGGCCATGAATAACACATGAAATCCACCTATATACTGAGCAAGGACTTTTTCTGATTACATTTTACCTGTTTATCTTAGATTACAGGAAGTTCTTGAAAGAGAATCACATTATATGTTCTCCGAAGTTGATGTCTATTCAATGGTGGATTTTGAACAAGTAAAACAAGGTGAACTTGCATCTCGTCTTCAAACTCTTCTTGCTCTTGGTAATGAGCACACATCACAATGCGAGGTATTATATTAAATGATGTCCTACACTGAACTTTATTTAGTCTACATTTTTTGTTCAGTTTTTAACAGAATTATCTGATTTGTTGCAGCTTTGTCTTGCTCGTGGCTTTGTATGCGAACTATGTTCATCGAAAGAGATTATATTTCCATGGCAAATTGCCCGAGTGTCACGCTGTGGAGATTGTGGTGTGTGTTATCACACAAGATGCCTGTCCTCATCGTGTCCGCGCTGCAAACGAATTTCAGAACGAAAAAAGAAATATGAAGAAGCTAAGCTAGTTGAAGAAGACACTGATACAGGGTTAAGCACCCCCTAAATTTAGATGGTACGACAAAATTCATTAACAAATTTTGTAACTTTTTAGAATTTTCTACCATTTTAGTACCTGAATTTCTCAAGTCAGCCTTCTACATCCTTTTTCTGATTGGTAGCTTTTTACCTTTTATTGAAATTTGCTTTTACCACTGCCTTGCAGGCTTAGAAGAATTTTACCTTGTTCACATGCTTTTAAAGTATGATTTCATGACTGGTGATTTAGCTTTACTATCTATGCATTGTAAAGTACATAGGTGTGTCTGCAACATTATCAGAGGCACCTATAATTGATTTTTTTAAAAAGTAGTGCTACACATACTTACGGCTCAATTTCTGTCCTTCTTGTGATATGATCTGTCCAAATAATTATGAATTAATGAATTAATTTACTCTTAAACTGCTATTTTTAATTATGTACTGTCACTTAATGATGGTGATGTGATCTGCTAATTTTAAGGTAGAGGATTTTTTTACTAATGATTTATTGTACTGATAATGTTCTGGGGCCATCTTGATATTGCTTGGTCTAACAGCTTATCATTAAGTCTCATTTGCACAGTTATCTTCTTGTGCACCCAAGATTATCAATTTTTCAAAATTTTACACAATTTTTAAAGTTATCTTGAAGCTGTTGAAGACTGATGAAATGCTCTTAACACATGCAGTATAGAGAATAATTTACCCCTATGCTTTTATGTGAGCGTATGATACCGGGGCTCTTGTGACCACTGAATGTGGTTAGTAATCCTATAGCTATTGTCAAATAAGTATTGTATTTTGATGCCTATTTTTATTAAACATATTTGATATGTACTCTTAGTGTTAATATGATACAGTAAAACACTGTTGTTGGATGAACATCTTTTAATAAATGGTGTCAAACTAATACATGACAAAAAATAGACATCTCTCAAAACAGCAGTACGGTGTTGATCAAAATTGGTTACAATTGTTGACATAGGTGGGAAAAGAGACTCCAAAGAAGCACCTCAGTATACAACCAGAGCAGGGTCCATAGAATCTCAGCTGCAGATATGTATTTTTATAAAACAAAATTACTTGCCATGGTGCACCACTACCTCAGTAATACAGTATTCCTATGAAAACATAATATCTAAAGCATAGTAGAGATCTATCAAATTACCAGTCTACATACCTAACCATATAAATCAGTGCTCTGCTTAAAATAATGATTACAACTCTGCTTTAACTCAATCCAGTCATGTAGACCTTTGAAATCAGAAATTTATTTCCAACTTCCAAGAAAAATTCTTGTACAACATTTCATTACATCTAAAATTATGCACAGGCTACCTCTTCTAAATTAGTCTAGATAGTCTAGAGAGTGATCTCAAAATAAAAGGAAGGTGAATACCTACAAAATGTAAGTTGAGCATGAGCACAGACAATTTGCTTACAAAAAGCTTAAAAAGTTTTCTTAGAAGGCACTCAACAGGCCAAGCTCTGTGGCAAAAAACATCATAAACAGGATCTCAGGATCTGCCTAACTTTTGTGTCCCTATGTTCCTAAGAATGAGCAGAGTCTGACAACAAGATTAAAACTCCAGCATACTTTACATTACTCTAGTCAAATATAATAATTTCAATTGATACGTTTGTACTCTTTCAGAATAACAGACTAGAGGGGATGAATGACAGGGCAATAAAAGTACTTGTTTAATAAAACCTGGTCATGCTAGGATTTAATAAAAATGCAGAAATAGTGACTTAAGGGATTTGACAGAAACTTGCGGTATGTTTTCTTTTGGGTCTGATCAAATTCTTGTTTATAGATTTAGTATAAAATTAACAAAAACTGAGCATTGAAAAACTAGTTTTTACATCAACAATTAACAACTTAGAAGCTACACAAAATTATTGTTCAATTATTATTGGAGTCTTCTGCTAGTCAAAGCAACAGTGCCTATTGTGCAGTCACTAAAATCCAAACAATTTAAGAAAAACGTCAATTATGACTGATCATTACTACTGCTCCTACATTCACATACAGTATGACAAAATCTACTTTCAATTAACCGTTTGTATTGTTTGGTGAGCCTAGAACTACAAAAATATCAAGATTCTTTAAGTAACTCATTTCATCTATTCAAAAATTCATTCTTCATATGCTTGAGAATATGAGTAAGTAAGAACAGACCTACAGATACTAAAAGGTACCACCAACCATCAAATTATCGGTAAATAAGAGAACTCAACAACATTTGGTAGCAAACTCTTGTGAGTTGCTTGGAACTGTTATTTGTAGTGATATAGATTTAAAATGGCACTTTGCAAGCGCCCCTCCCCTTTCTTGAAAAAGAATACATCCATTGCTTTTCATTTAAATGATGAATAAGTAATTGAGAATGCGTGAGTTATAGCAGAAGGTTAATAACAATTCTAGGAACGCTTTACTGAATTGTCAGAAAATTGATTTGGAATTTTTTTCTGTTAGTCAAATTTCATATTATTACTACATACAGTGCTATTAGGAACAACATTTTATAAGCACACACACATGTGTTCTTTGGGTTAAAATACTGATTGTCTTTGGAAATTAAAATTGAAACAAATAAAGCCCAAGAGTCAGTTTGCTTGAAGCAAAACAAAACAAAAATAAAGCTTTCACCTAAACTATAATAAATATTGAACAGTCTCATGCCACAAATAAGGTCACAGAAGACCTAAATATCTTTGGTGACTCATATGTTAAGAGCTAATTTATGAGGAACCAGAGAACGTCATATTAATATGAGACCACAGAACATGTCACTATTTTACCAAGGTAAAGTATAAAACTTAAGTTGTAATAAACAGAGTGCAGAAGTTGATTCAAGTTATTGCAAAGGGAAACAGAATTTAAGATGTTGCATCTCAAAATCTGCTACTATGAAAAGTGTAACAAAATTATTGCACTATGTACATATAGAAACCACAACATGCTACTATCTACACTTAATTCTATAGGTTTATTGCTTTAGATTTAAAAAGTGCACAATAAAGAATAAGAACAATAAAGACACAGTTCAATTGTCAAGCTTGACAATGGAAATTTGAGATTAAAAGTCACAGATGTGTTGAGTGTTATTGTTTGTATAACGTCCCTGTAATATGACTAAGCGTAACACGTTTTTAGAAAAAATTGAGGAACTCATTCTCATATAATTGAAATAACTAATGACTTTCTTTTTTTAAGAGTCGATGATTGTGCAGGGAAGTCGATTCATAGTTTGATTAACAAAATCAGTCTGATGACAAATATTTCACATGTCTGAACTTTTCTTCAACAACATGGCACAAAGTGCTCGACTATGCAAGAGATACCAATCAATACAAATGTGAAAAAACATTTCATAAAATTTTCTGATTTTCGTTTTTAGGGGAGAAAGGGGACAGCACTAAGAGTATTACACAAGTATTACATTGGCATTAGATGGAGACTTGGGAGCTATTCTTGGTCCCTTTTCCACAACGTGATGTGATCATGTGCTTTCTCAGATGAGTACTATATTTGAAAGGAAGTTCACACGCATGACACACATACTTCATTTCTCCAGTGTGTAGCTTTTGAATATGGTTCTCTAACGTGTTCAATGTTGAAAACCTCTTAGTACAGACAGGACATTTAATCAGTTTTTCCCCAGGGTTGAGAGAGGAGTGGGTCATAAGGTGTTTTAATAATGCAGCAGCACTGTAAAACTCTTCATTACATTTGAGACATTGTTGCTTCTTTTTACCATCCATTTCAAGATTAAGACCACTTGAACAAATATCTGACCTTGTCTTATGGATTTCCTTGATATACTTTGTTGCTCTTTCTTGGATTAGAGAAGTTACGTTACCTTTAGTTTTACCTGGGCTTTTCTTTTCTTGAGTTTGCATTTGAATAAGTTCTTCAATGTAAGTTCCCTGATAAAATAACAAAAAACACCATAAGACCTTGTAAGAGCTTAAATAAAGGATACACTTAAGATTAACTCTGAACATACCGTATCAATAATCTGTAGACAGTTGGCATTAATTTCATCATTATCTTCATTGTCATTCACATAAGCTTCCTTGTGTGCGTGGTTTTCCAGTTCTGATTGAACATCCTCAGGTTCCATTATTTCTGCCTGACATGATGACAGCTCTAAAATCATACTCTTTCTTTTCTTCTGTTCTAATGATACATTAGCAGTCAAAGCGGGTAATTCCTACAACAGACCAAATAAAAAAGAGAAAATCATGAATCATTGATGTTAAGGGTATTGAACATGTTAAATCAGTACTATCAGTAAAGTAAATCAAGTGAATTATCGTATTAAAAGAAACACTGACCTTGTAAAATCCCATGGATAGGGTGGAACTTGATTCACAGGTCTCAGAGTCATTTTCTGTGTCTGTAGTACTTGTACTTTCTCTTCTTATAATCCTTTCATGAGTTCCATTATGGGAATATTCATTTTCCTGTTCACTTTCAAAACTTGAATCACTATCAATAGATGGATGAGATCGATGATTCCATCGAGATCTTTGAATTGAAATATTTGGTGAGAAGTGTAGATTAGGTCTAATTACAGATGGGCGGAAAAAATCCAACTGGAAAATATAAAATACATAAATATGTTAAGACATTGAAAGCTGTTTAAACCCCCAAAAATGTATTGAAAATTAGAGAGTAATTACTTCAACTCTAGTTACAGGTGTTCTACTAGGTAAATTCTGGATTTTAGGTATACGCAGATCTAAAGGATGATCAATTTCTGATGACTCAAGAGACTTCTTCTTCTGTCTAAGATCCAAAACATCTTCTGGATCCATGATCTGGAAAAAAATTGAAACATTGTTACTTATTTTAAATATAAAACTGTGAGTGTTCTACACCTAACAGAAAACTCCTGAGTCCCCCAAAACTTCAATAGGAAAGATGTTTCTGGCATTCCCCAGGGTGTGTTCCACTAAGCTCATGCTGTGAAAGCACTGTGGTAGTATTCATTAAAAATCTTTGATCGTAAGAAATAAGTCAAGTAATTTTCATTTTTATTTTTTTTAAAGAAATTACTGTTTTTTTCTCATTTTTGCATTCATTTTATGGTCAAATGTTGTGGTTCCAATATTGTGATATAATCATAGTCTATAAAAATCTGATGGAGTAAAAGTTGTTATCTGATCTTAGATATTTAAGGCAAAAATAGTGTTTTGTGTTATGAAATTCCTTCTATCATTTTCTTTTTTTAGATTTTTGGAGTATTGAGTTAATTTGCTTGAGGTAGTGCACAGTCAAACATTTGCCATAGACTTGACCTTGAAATATGGTTGCCCATGAAGTGGAGTGGGAGAAGTGAAAGTTGTCTAATGAGGTCATCTCTGATCTCTTGAGGTGTCTGACAGGTACTGTTTGAATTTCAACCAACCAGTACTTATAGTAAAAGGAATATGTTGTTTCAAAATAGCTGTGCTGAGGTAGAAACTGTTTACGGATAAGTGAATAGTGAGAGGTGAGTTATAGAAAACAGGTGGTTGATTAAGAAGACATGTACATGGTGAGCAATCACAAGGCCTCCCAGCTGTTTCAAGAGTTGAGGTTATTGAGTCATATATTTGTACATGTATCGCAGAGCTGATATTACTAATGAGTGCAATTCAAACAGTTTAGTTGAACTGAGCAAGTCTAGAACCAAGAGTTGACCATGTATTGAATTGTTCCTCTAAATTCTCATCTAAAGACGTATTATGCTGGTAAATTTTATCTTGCCACAACGAATGTTTAACTTCCTTTCATGCTGGATAAATAATATGAACAAGTTATCAATCACAAACTATGCTAAAGCGCATTTACAGAGCAAATAACTTTAAGCAATAGTTGATGCATATGAATTACTTATAGGAACAACAAAATATTTTCAGTTTCACTGAGAACAGTTTGCTAGACCTGAGAAATAGTTATGTTTGAGAGATGAGGAAACAAAATTGAAACAATAAAAAAAAAGAATAAAAAATAAGGAGAGATCCGTTTTTAAAATTTGCACTGGAAACACTTAAGTAACAACTGCAAAGTCAGTCATAAGAAAGAGGGATCCAGTATATTATATTCCCACTTTCAAATTTAAGAAATATTTTGGTACAAAAAGCGAAAAACATTTGTCAGTTCTTCAAAACATAAAGCCTTATGAGCTTCCAGGTGGAAATGCGTACTACAGGGTCAGCGTACATGGAAGAAGTTTTATTAGCAAGTTACTCTAGGTTTCGTATTTCAGCATGAGACAACTATAAAACACCACAATATTCTGCCCAACAATCGGAAAAAGAGTTAAAAGTCTGATTGAATCCAATTAGGGCTCTACAGCATCTGAATTACAGAAGCCAGAAATGGTAGATTATTTAATATGAAAACGCAGAATTGGAGTTGTGCTAAGACCCAAAGGAGGGAAGCAAAACGTTAAGCTGAACAGACTTTTCTGAACAACAGCTTAAAAAGCTTAAAATAATAACAGTAAGCTAAGCATGTAATTTATGAAGGGGTTAAACATTGCAATTCTGTAAATGATGAAAACAATTGTAAGACCTAACCTCATCAAAGATTTTCAAATGACTTCTACACATTCGATGATGAAAGTAGATGAATGACAGTGGTGTCAAAAACTAAGGAAACTCATAAAATTTTGTTGGTACTGAATACTCGTAAGATAGCTTAGTGTTAAAGAATTGACAGGTTCCTTCACAACAAAGACATCTCTTCACAGCAAACATTTGATCCTTCAGGGTGGATTAATCTTACCTGTCCTTTATATCCACATTACTGTCCGGAAAGAACTCATCCAATTCACTCGCAGCAGCAGAAAATCTATCTTCTTCCATTCATAGCTGCAGTCCATAGAACACACACGCAATAGTCAAATCTTTAACTTAACCCTGTCTCATCCTTCAACCCCTCGCAGAGCCCCCCTCTCCCTCCGCCTCCGTCCCTCCTCACCCCTTGCCCGCCCCCCCGCCAGGACTCTACCGCCAGCCACCCCACCGTGCGATATGACAACAGTGTACTTGTCCAGCTAGGAAAGGGGGAAGCAGGAGCAAGTGATTTGCAGAACCTTCACTGGAAAAAAAATAACTGATTTGTGCGCCACCGATCTTTTTGAATGGGAAAATCGGGAGCAGATTAGAGACGAGACAGCAGACTGGCTCAGCCGGGGAAGCGACTCGGTGGAAACAAGATGGAAAATCTGAAGCAGCCAGTGGACGCAGCCGGACGCCTACTGGAAGTTCTGTGGCGATATGATAAGGGGCCATAGGCAGCAGCAGCAGCAGCAGCCATGGGGACCTTATCTCACACATGGAGCGAGCACTGCTGCTCATGACAGGTCATGCACATTGCTGCGTAGGGCTCTAACGGAAGTCAGCAGCCCGATGAGGTCATCGCCTCGGTAAAGTTAGGCTCTTTGATACGGTGTGAGAATTACTTTACTTTTTCCCTGTCAAAAGCGCTCGCCTGAAGGCGAGCGCGGCGATCAGCCTCCGTGATCTCATTGAGAAGGCACAGCAAAAGAGTCGCGGGAGTCGGAAGGTGCCGCCGCAGCCAGACCCCCGCCCGCATTCCTCTGCAGTCGAGTGCGACAGTTAAAGCGCCTGGAGGGGTCAAGGGCCCCCTCCTGGGGCCACTGTCAGCCCGCTCAGGCCCGTATGCCCCGGACAATGCCCCCCTCCCTCCTTTCCTTCCGGCCCCCCG